TGGCTTGGAAACTTGACGCATGGCCACTATGTGACTGTGACCCTCACAAACACAGCACATTGGAACTGTCGCGGACCACGTAGTGTCAAAATGCGTTGGTTATAAAATTAGATCTCTAGCGCTATTTATGCGAACTGCGCAGTGTATTTTTTATACCGTGACGATCTGAAATAATCAGTTCACTGATTCATTGAATCAGTGAATCCAAGGAACCGTGACACCGCAAACTACCGATTTATTTTTTCTCTTCTAACAAAGAGTTAAGCACCTCTCGTTAAGTTGGCATAAACCATAATCAATCACCACAAAAACAAGTATGCTACTATTTAGAACGGTTTAATAGCTAATTACGAAGGCAAAATTCATTTAATTGCTATTTAATTTTTTGCGTAATTATATGGGCTGACTTAAGGGTAAGCTGGCACCATCATAACTGAATATCACAAAAACAAAGATGCTACCTTGTAGAACGATTTAATTGCTAATTAATTACGCACAAATTATTTTAATTAATCTTCAACTATTTGCGTAATTAATTTATCACGAGAACTACCAGAATGTATCATGGTGTGAAGATGGAGCTCTCGGGCAGACTGTCACTTTGCCTGACCTTGGAGTAACCCAGGCCGTTGACAGGAGAGTGTCGAATAGCGAAGTGCAGAAATAGCTTTTCGATTGGTTGCCCCAAAGACTTATAATACTATATGTCTATGAGTTGTCCCAATTCGTTCGACTAGCGTTCTTTAGCCTCATTTGGAACCAGAAGAAAATTACGGTCTTCGATTCGTCCATGTCTAAAAATGGCCAATCCGGCAGTTTCAAATAAAATACGCAAGTGCTACATTTGAAGAGTAATTAAATTTTTTGCGTAATTAACTGGCAATTGAGAAGGTAGTCATGTAGCATATTTGTTTTTCTGGTGACTGATTATGGTAGTCGTGGCTTAAGAGAGGTGAGCTAAACGCCTGACCTTTTATACAGATAGTACATTCCTAGATCCATACACAGATATATAGTACAGCAGCGGGTTCATCTGAATAGAGATGTATGTCTAATTTTTTCACCTTGCACAATTTTCTATGTAATAAAACAACTTTTTTGTCATAAACTTGCTATTGATAAATACTGTTAATATTATACAAATTTCAACAAAATGGTCAAAACAATTTCTTATTTTTTAGATATTATATTTTGTTAACTAATGCAAAAAGAAACAAACGAATAACAATTTTGATTTTTTCTGAGAATATTTGAATATGCTGCATGACATTTTTTGAAGAAAATATATTCGATTTTTAAATAAAAAAATATTTTTCTAAACAGATTTAAATTAATAATGTGGTATTTAAAAGTTTCTGTGCTACCATACAAAAACTGCTTTACAAGGACTGCAAAGATGATGTTGAAAAAACACCAACCATGAAAAGGGCATATCAAAATGTGAATTGTAGAGCAAAAACATTTTCAAAACAGTGTCTTTTCGCCGTGCAGAGTTGCCTTTAACGTTTTATAAATTGTACTTGGCAGTTTAATTTTCTTCATTGCATATAATTCAACAAAAAAAAATTCAAACTACCAGCTCAAGTATAGTATGTGCCTTCTTCTGAATAATTAGTAATATAATCCAAATAAAAAATTTTACTGCAAAACAATTAAAAGGTCGTTAGAAAAGAGGTAGACGAAATAGTTCTTTATCTTATAGCAAACAAAAAAGGAATGAAAATGTATTTCATAATCAGCTAATGTATAATAATTTTTTTAATGAAAAGCTATAAGGACCAAGCAAAATATTGGAGAAAAATGTTTATTCAGTACCCACTGTTAATTATAAATATAATTAATATTAATTATTAATATAATTGAGCATCTTACTAAGAATACTGTATATTCATTACAGGTCAATTCCAAGCATAAACAATCAGTACCACACATTATATATTATAGTTATAAGTAGTTTCCAGTGGCAGACATTTCTGAGATTTTATAGTTAAAATCAAAGAAAAAAATTAAAATTCAGTCATATTTCCCCTTAAATTTTGTCCCCCCTCCCCCAACGTGCTGCGAGTAGGAAGATCGGCTATTGGTTTTACTTGGTACTGATTTAAAAGAAAACAAGTCCACCTTGAGAGGTGATAAAGGGTTTATTTGAAAGCTTAGTTGTTTCACCAGTGTACATGGAGATTTATTCCAATTCATTTTGATATGAAGACATTTCTGCTATTGTAAAATGTTTGATTATTTTTTGTTTGTATGAACACTTCCATTTTTTAATTAATTATGTTTAATAACAATTTCTCTCCTTAATTGTTGTAGATGTGTTTTATTTGATTTCTTCACAGAATGTCTGCCTTGGTAGGCTTCTTTTGACCTTCCTTAGAGCAAAAATAAAGTATTCAAGGACTAATTTGTTGAAGCTTACATCCATATAGAGAATTTGTGTATCTTCAAATTGCATTACTGTACAAATAGGAAAATTATCATTACTTCACTTATCATCAACTGTTTTCAATTTTGACATCATTAAGGTATGAGGTATAATGTGTTCGATTTTGTGTGTTCGATTTTGAAATTTTCTTGAGTTTGTCTGTTGGCATTTATTACAAAGAATTCACCAGTGTTCGAATTATTCTCAATTAGTTGTCCGTTCTGGCCCCAAATTGTGGGGGACATTAAAATCACCAGCAAGAATTACACTTTTCGCTTCATGATTTTGTTATAGCTTTTAAAATGTTTTCCAAATACTCAATTTAATTCTCTTAGTTCACATTGACAAACTTTATATACGCTCTATAAATGTTAAATGCTGAAAAATAGATTGGGAAATGGAGATTATATCAGTGAATAAAACAATTAACAACAAAGAAATTATTATTTATAAAATATTAAGTTCATTTTTAACATTTTTGTAACATAAGTGCAAAGAATACATATTTATATTATATTAACATTATTAGCGTAGTTCAAAATATCACTTATATTTATTTAGAACATGTCTAGTAGTAAAAGTATTTGGTTCGCAAACCGCTTTGGTTCCTATATGCACCTTTCTGGAAATGATACGTCATTAGCAGTCTTTCTGTTCTCCTCTAGTGAGGAACATATGGAACCGACATCGACAATCTCGTCGGCAAGGGATCACCCGCGTTTAATTACTCACAAAACAACGAAATAACAAAAATAAACATTATCATACATGAACCCAACAATTATAAAATATATGTCGATATCAAATATTGCAAACGCAATTACAGCAGAATGTACAATATGTTTATTAATTCGGCATCACCAATAGGAGAAAGCACGCTGCACGTCTACCAACATAAATATACAAACATTGAACATTATTATTAAAAATAGAAAAATAATCACTTTTCGCTCATTGCTCTTCAGCTGCTCTCTCACTTAAGTTACGTTTTCATTTTTTCAGTTGCATGGAAAAGCACGCCTCATGATTCCCAACATAAATACACAAGTACATATAAAACAATTTTATAAAAAAATAATCACAAACTCACACCTATTATACATCAGCTGCTCTTTTGTGTAGGTTGTCTTTTTAACGCCTTTTTCGGACAGCATAAAAAGGCACACTACACAATCCAACGTAAATATACATACATTAAAAAAAGGAAAATAATCACAAGTTTATATGAATGGCACTCGGGCGGTAACTTTCAAGTTCAATTCGTCATTTTTTTCTTTTTGTCTCCTTCACACTCCAGCTAATTGCTTAAGTTTTTCCTTTTTCGCTTTGCACGCTCTAGCCACTTGCTCCCTCATTGTCATCACGTCAACCTTTTTGTTTTTGATTTTCATATACCAGCGAACTTCGCCTTCTTACATGCAACGGGTATTTTCTTTTAGAATTATTGAACTGCAGCATTTGCATCCAAATATGTGACGCGTCAACGTTTATTTGTTTTTTAATTGGCTGTTGCGTGCTCGCCAACATTTTTTCCCCTTTTTTGCGATTTGGTCAATCTTGCGATGGAATGGGTGCACAACAGTTGTCTGCATTCACATCCAGCACTTAGTAACATTTTTACATTTTTCTTTCGCCCTTGCTTGCATCTGCAGCAGCACACAGTAATTTTGGCTTTGCATAGATGCCAGGTCACGTACTATTGAACTAAGACTTTTTTGCCCTGTATGTGTTCATGTCCTTGAAACATTTCCTATTTTTTACCTTTCTTCTCGTGTAGAGTGCCCGACATTTTCCGACGTTTTTATGATTTTTTTATGACCTGGCTTTTGTTGCACCGCGATGGCCAGCTTTCTCACTCGTGTCATTGTCAACAAGTTTTCTTTTTAATTGATTCGCGTCCGCAGCGAATTCATTTATAAATTTATTAGGCCTATAGTTGCATTGACATCTGCCGTCAGCAGTTTTTCTTCCTTCGTGGCTCGCATTCGCGGTGCAACACTTCAATTCTTTTTGGTGATTAGGCATATTGTTGGACGGTAGCTACATGCGCTACCATTATTGACTGTCATATTTTTCTTTTCTTGCGGCTCTTATCTACAGCAAAACTCGTCAACATGTTCTTTTTTGATTAGACTAATCATTGCGCTGCAGTTGCTTCATTCCCAACCGTGACTCTTCCTTTTTTCCGTGACGTGTTCACAGCCTAAGACGTTATCTTTCCTGGAAAAAATCTCTCAGGGCGCCGGTAGATGCATGCGAAGGTGTGAACGGAGCGTGAGGTGATGAACCGTGAAGGCCAGGCTCCCCTGTCCGAAACTCGTCAACTTTCAATTTATTTTCTTCGCTTCAACGTACTGCCTCTTCTCCCACGCAACGGGCGTATTCGTTCTGAATTGCTGAACTGCAGCTATTGCATTCGCAACTTGACTCGTCAACATTGATATTACTCTTCTAAGCTCATATCTACTGCGAAATTCTTCAATTTAAAAAGAAACAATTCTTTTGAGTATTCCCTTCGTTGCACTATTCCTGCTTGGATTGCCATTCGTGGCTTGTCTTCTTTTTTCTTTACTGGTGTTCTCATTGCAAGACGTCACGTCGTTTTGAAAACTTTTTGAGTGGTTGAGTGGGTGAGTTCGCCTTGCTGGAGTACCAGGGCCACCAGAGCTGCACTAAGATATGAGGGAAGGGAGCGCGTCCCAGTGGATGGCGAGGACTGACCGAAGGCGGGCGGACGTCCTCGAGCAGGGAGCCTGACGAGGGGAGGGGATGCGGTGGTGGTGGGTGGGACGAGAAGCCGTGTGCAGTGCACGCTCAGCGCGTTGCGGTTGTCACCATCATCGTCGGCTGCAGCTCCATAGCGAGACGTCACCTCTATTCCAAACGATGACCGCTGCGTGAGCTGTGAGTAGCAAGTTTCAGAGCTGTGTGCGACGGCCTTGAGTGGAGCGAGCACCTTGTTCTATGTTCCAAACCTTAGCTCGACCCTTGCGCGAAGGTAGAAGCCATGCCTGGAGCGAGTACCGAGGCCACTAGAGCTGCACTAAGCCACGAGGCAAGGGTACCGAGGCCACTAGAGCTCCGAGGCAACGAAGCGAGGACTTCCCCGAGCGGGGAGCTGCGTGCAGGCCGGAGGTGGAGGGTGGGAGGTCAGCAGTGCACGCCCAGCGCGTCGCCGTTGGCTGCAGCCGTCGTCGTCAGCGTCGTCGCCGTCGTCGGCTGCAGCTCCAGCGCCTCCTGGCGGCTGCGCTTGGCGGCCAGCCGCCGCTGCACCGGAGGGATGACGAACAGCATCACGCCGCTCAGCGCCATCGTCACCCCGGCCACGATGAAGCCCGGGTTGTAGGAGCCCGTCGCGTCGTACAGCCAGCCTGCGCACACGACAGCCGATGAGTGAGCGGTTTCAGAAGAACGTCCGGTGTAATGGACAAGTCTAAATCAATGATCTCCCCCATTCAGTTTAAGAACAACCAATACAATGAGTGATTCTAAGCTACAGCCAGCCTGCGTGCACATCAGCCAAAGAGCGAGCAGTTTGAGAAGAAACTCCGGTGTAATGGACAAATCTAAACCAATGATCTCCCTCATTCAGTTTAAGAACAACAAATAGAATGAGTGATTCTAATCTACAGCCACCCTGCGCACACGACAGCCAATGAGCGAGCGGATTCAGAAGAACCTCCGCTGTAATAGAAAAGTCTAAACCAATGATCTTACTCATTCAGTTTAAGAACAACCAATACAATGAGTGATATTAAACTACAGCCAGCTTGCACACACGTCAGCCAATGAGCGAGCGGTTTCAGAATAACCTCCCATGTAATGGAGAAGTCTAATCCAATGATCGTTCCAAGATGGCGAAAGGGGCGTAATGAAATTTGCGTGTTCAGGCCTCGTAGTCTGAGCCTAGACACATATAATAATGAATCATTATTACATTTAATCGTAACAGGTGGAAGAGCAGGCCGTATGCTCTGAG